TCCCGACGTAATATGTTTTTTTCGGCCTTCCCTTTTTCCACTTCCCTTCAGGATTCCAGGTTAGGGCTTGCCTCGTGATGCAGCTTGATGATTTCCATAATGTATGTCTTATATCTTAATGTATGTCTCCTATACATTATTATTAAATATGAGAGTTGATTAAGATTCAAACTTTTGTTTCTTTTCCTAATCTTACAATAATAAATCTTCTCAATATTATCGAAATACTTTTTTAACTTGAATATATCTCAGAACTAAATTAATCTTCAAATTATCAAAATATATTTTATGAACTTTTCGATAAAAGTGATTTCAACAGTTGAGATCATGAGTCAATTGAAGCTAGATCATCATGGAAAACTTGGAAACACTGGACGGCCGTTTTGTTCTATTGTGGGACTCCTCAGCAGTGCGCATCCACGCCCCCGCCTCGCGGGATTCGAACCCAGGACCTATCAGTCTCGCGCGCGAGCGCTTAACCCACCACTGAAATTACTAAAATCTCCCCAAAGTCCCTTCTGGTAATAATCATCTCACTAATGACTGACTTCAAGAGGCATTTCCTGGAGTTCTAGTGAGAAGCCGTGACCAGTGGAGTTCAACCAGGTTTATTGTTAGATATCAGCTCACTGAAGACAGTGGTGTACGGTGGTGCAATTTCGTGGACATTAATACCGTTTGTTACCGACCGGCTCAGTGTTCTAATGGTTAAGTGCTCATGCGCGGGACTTATAGGTCCTGGGTTCGATACTCGAGGGGGGGCAGGATCGTGGATGCGTACTGCTGAGGAGTCCCGCACTAGGATGAAACGGTCATCCGGCTCTTCCAGGTTTTCCGTGATGGTCTAACTTTAATTGATTCATGATTTCAGCTATTGAAATTACTATAATTATTAACAAATCCTCATAATCATTTTAAATAACAATTTTTTATCAAACAACAGTGGATGTTAATGTAAATTTCACATATACAGGTCATAGAATCAAGCTCATCAAAAGATTTTAACTAAGTAAGGACCATTCACAAAATTATTTTATCCTCTTAACCTATGACCAAGTATTGTGATCTCGATTTTGCATGATAAAGGAAGAGAATGTTACTGTCAAGCCACATTTTGTCAACTAGCATCGAATAAAAACAGTGTCTAAGAGGTAACAATATTATAACCAGCAAATCGAATTTGATTTAAAGGTAATGTGAATAGTCAGTGATGGATAAAAAATTAGGGTTTAAGGTTTATTATAAGAAATATATTTTGACACACATTCATATGATAGCGAACTCATTGATTTCGCTCTTATGAATCTGTTGTATTCTCGTCTCTTATTCTTATACTTGAAAGAACTAAGAACCATTGTAATTCCCACGACACGAAGTAAGAACATCAAGATTTGTACAGATGAAGATTTATTAACTTCAAAACACGATAACGATGACCCTAGTCCAAAACAAACTCATTTATATATTGATTGTATACTCATTTTGATTATTAATTAGAATAAAATCACATTTTTTTAAAAAAAACGTACCCAGGATTAAAGCAAAACCACATACTCTCTATCATCTTGAACCAAGTTCATACTAATTTAATACAAACAATATTGTATCTTGAACAAACACCATACTCATATAAATTAATGTTATTGTCATAACTTGTGCCCCGTGTCCTATAAATCTATGACGTAATGATATCACCAATTAGAGAACAGTGATTTACTGACCTGACCAATGACACATAAAACCTGTACGAGCAGTCTAGAGTCTTTCCCAGTCCTGCTTACTGCCTAGCCCAGCCAGTTGACTCCAGAACACAAATCTCAGCCTCTGCGATATGAATAAATTATTTCAAACATACCAAACAAACAGACCACATCTTACCATAAAATAGGAAATAACATTTGTAAAGGATTTATCCAAAAGTGGCTGTGAATGTGGGAGGTAGTAACTGATAAACCAGGCATAACTCAGGAATGGTAAGTCGTATAATAATATTCGATACGTCAAAACAAAGCTTATGATAAGAGGAACACGAATATCAATAGTTTAGTTACTTAGTAATTATACGGTAAAATATATGTATTGTATTAGTCCATGGATGGGTCCCAACAGTTACCATTCATTTTTCTCGTCGGGATATAACAGTTATATCGAATATCACACTGAAAAACAAAAAAAATATTAATCTGAGTAAACCGCGTATTGCATAAAAAAACTATAAAAAAATGGGAGTAATGTTAAACAAAAATCGCAGAGTTATAAATGTGCTTTTCCCTTCTCAGCTCGTTATATCAGAAACAATACATATGCATTATCGTTTTAGAATCAAACAAGTATTCTTTCTTATTGTAAACCTAGACAGTATTAATGTGGTGCGTGCTACTTATATTGATATAAGTAGTATATGACACGAGTCAGGAATGTAATATCTGGTAGCAGGAGATAAGGAAGATCAAGAAGGAAAAGAGGGAATAGAAAACAATTAGGATGGAAATGCAAGAACAACGAAGTTCGAGATAATTATTGAACATTTTGCAAATTAACGATTTACTATATGGTTTTTCTATTTAACCAAGTAACTCTGTAATTTTGTACCAAATATAACTCGGTTGTCCTCACCTGTGTCCTCCTTCCCGACACTAGTACAAGAGTTTGGACAGCTAACTCTCCTTAATAAAGAAAATATCACAAGCCTATTCGACAAATACTCAATAATGACAACACACTAAGATTTGATTCTATAATGAAGTTTTAAGAATATTTTATACCAAATAAAAAATAAAAAGAATTATACCCTTTAAGCAATAAGATACTAACTTAATGAATGTTAATTACGTTTTAGTAAGTACAGTTTTCGAACTTATGATAAATATAAAAACTAAGATCTTGGTATGTAAACCCGAACACTATTATACTAAATATATATCTCCATTTTTCCATAAGTCTCTATATTAACAGTTGCCTACGCGAAATACTTCGGATCCGTTGGTCAAACACTATCAGTAAGAACCTATCGTAGGAGAGAACAAACCAGATCCAAGTGGAGGAAGAAATCAGGAAGAAGCACTGGAAGTGGATAGGACACACATTAAGGAAAGCACTCAACTGCGTCACAAGGTATGCTCTCACATGGAATCCACAAGGCCAAAGAAGAAAAGGAAGACCAAAGAACATATTACGTCGAGAAATGGAGACAGACATAAAAAGAATAAACAAAAGTTGGATAGAACTGGAAAGGAAGGCCCAGGACAGAGTGAGTTGGAGAATGTTGGTCTGCGATCTATGCTCCACTGGGAGTAGCAGGCGTAAGTAAAGTAAGTAAGTAAGTCTATATCGATTTGAGTACTTTAAACTACATCTTGTAGTATTTAATAGGATCGAAATATCTTATTTTGAAATGAGTTGAAATCGAATATAAACAACCTAATAGATGTCTTCTACCCACCTAATACTTAATAATCTCATTAGCTATTGTGTGTTTTAATACTGAGGAGTCTAAACTACGTTTCATTTTCACTTATTTCTATTCTTTTGTATTTGATTTATGCCTCTTAAACTTTGATAAGCTATTAAACTTAAGCTTAGATTGGTATTTCTTATTGTTTTTATGACTTCCAATGTGGTTAGCTGTTCTAGATTTTGCAAAAAACCATGAAGACATAGACATTAAGTGAATGAGGACTAATCGTTGATAGTCTTTTTTCTACTCATATTATCATTTGGTTTTTACCACTGCGTTGTACTATTAGTAGCTCATTATTGTTCCTTCTGATTTATACTCAATTCATTTGAGTACAACAGGAACATTAAAAGGAAATTGGAAAGTTTTAAAAAAATCTAACCTCGATTTTATTTATGATAGTAAATTTCATTTTACTTCTGCCTTAGATTTCTAAGATTTTCTTTTGCAACTTATATTTATCTTTGGCATTTCAATACCGCCCATTCAATCAATCAACTTCGTAAGATTGATGAGAAAATCACGTTATACAATAAAGTTATTAAAATGCTGCAAAACAAATCCACCTACTGATAAAATCCTAGTAATATATTCAAAAGACGAAAAATACGAACATGGTAAGAGGAGTATCATCCAGAATATCATCAAAACCATCGACAAGAAAACAAGACAGACGGGCTGAAATTCATTAAATTCAATAACCAATTAAACAGAAGATTATCCAACTGATATAATTTTTTTAAAAAATAATAGCACATACAGAGTAACGGACATCCCATTTAAAAAAATAAATAAAAATGCATTCAGTAAAAAACAAAAGAAAAAACGACCAGGAAAAAGTGGAGGAAACTAACGAAAGCAAAATAAAACAAAAATGCCAAAATATAATATAAAGCAAACCGGAACAAAAATATCACAAAACAATGTAAAATGCAAAAACGACTTTAAAAAACACAATGTAACGCAAAATTATTTAAGAAAGAATTGGAAATTCCCTTCATTAAAAACACTTCCATTATAAATTCAACAAAAGTACATTGAATGACGAGACCATAGTTGATGGACGAACCAATCAGATTTCGGATAACAGATGTTGGGTTTCAGCGCGAAATTCATAATCTGAATTCCTCACACTGGTTTGTTACCCTCCCTCATTTACTCCTAGTAAGTAGATGGACATTCTCAGGGTCACTTTAGCGTTGCTCAAAGGTCGTGCATAAATTGTAGTCTCACGGGAAGAACGAGCAACTTGTTATTCGATATCAGTGAGGACGATGGAGTGAGGTGAATTGAACAGTACGAAAATGTTGCACACCACCACTCGTCACGCCATCGACTGACCCGATCGGCGGACTGGTTGTAAGCAGAGAGCGTTGGAGGTGCCGGGGATCGAACCCGGGACATCTCGCATGCGAAGCGAGCGCTCTACCACTGAGCCACACCCCCGACCGTCGGCTCCACTAGTAAACGCTCACCGAACCCCACTAAACTACCGCACAACAACACAGGAGATTAACATCCTAACAAACCATATCTAATTCTACTATCGTTTCTTCTTATTATTATTATAATTACTACTACTACTACTACTACTACTACTACTACTACTACTACTACTACTACTACTACTACTACTACTACTACTACTACTACTACTACTACTACTACTACTACTACTACTACTACTACTACTACTACTACTACTACTACTACTACTACTACTACTACTACTACTACTACTACTACTACTACTACTACTACTACTACTACTACTACTACTACTACTACTACTACTACTACTACTACTACTACTACTACTACTACTACTACTACTACTACTACTACTACTACTACTACTACTACTACTACTACTACTACTACTACTACTACTACTACTACTACAACTACTACTACTACTACTACTACTACTACTACTACTACTACTACTACTACTACTACTACTACTACTACTACTACTACTACTACTACTACTACTACTACTACTACTACTACTACTACTACTACTACTACTACTACTACTACTACTACTACTACTACTACTACTACTACTACTACTACTACTACTACTACTACTACTACTACTACTACTACTACTACTACTACTACTACTACTACTACTACTACTACTACTACTACTACTACTACTACTACTACTACTACTACTACTACTACTACTACTACTACTACTACTACTACTACTACTACTACTACTACTACTACTACTACTACTACTACTACTACTACTACTACTACTACTACTACTACTACTACTACTACTACTACTACTACTACTACTACTACTACTACTACTACTACTACTACTACTACTACTACTACTACTACTACTACTACTACTACTACTACTACTACTACTACTACTACTACTACTACTACTACTACTACTACTACTACTACTACTACTACTACTACTACTACTACTACTACTACTACTACTACTACTACTACTACTACTACTACTACTACTACTACTACTACTACTACTACTACTACTACTACTACTACTACTACTACTACTACTACTACTACTACTACTACTACTACTACTACTACTACTACTACTACTACTACTACTACTACTACTACTACTACTACTACTACTACTACTACTACTACTACTACTACTACTACTACTACTACTACTACTACTACTACTACTACTACTACTACTACTACTACTACTACTACTACTACTACTACTACTACTACTACTACTACTACTACTACTACTACTACTACTACTACTACTACTACTACTACTACTACTACTACTACTACTACTACTACTACTACTACTACTACTACTACTACTACTACTACTACTACTACTACTACTACTACTACTACTACTACTACTACTACTACTACTACTACTACTACTACTACTACTACTACTACTACTACTACTACTACTACTACTACTACTACTACTACTACTACTACTACTACTACTACTACTACTACTACTACTACTACTACTACTACTACTACTACTACTACTACTACTACTACTACTACTACTACTACTACTACTACTACTACTACTACTACTACTACTACTACTACTACTACTACTACTACTACTACTACTACTACTACTACTACTACTACTACTACTACTACTACTACTACTACTACTACTACTACTACTACTACTACTACTACTACTACTACTACTACTACTACTACTACTACTACTACTACTACTACTACTACTACTACTACTACTACTACTACTACTACTACTACTACTACTACTACTACTACTACTACTACTACTACTACTACTACTACTACTACTACTACTACTACTACTACTACTACTACTACTACTACTACTACTACTACTACTACTACTACTACTACTACTACTACTACTACTACTACTACTACTACTACTACTACTACTACTACTACTACTACTACTACTACTACTACTACTACTACTACTACTACTACTACTACTACTACTACTACTACTACTACTACTACTACTACTACTACTACTACTACTACTACTACTACTACTACTACTACTACTACTACTACTACTACTACTACTACTACTATTATTATTATTATTATTATCATTATTATTATTGTTATTGCTATTGTTATTGTTATTGTTAGTGTTAGTGTTAGTGTTATTGTTATTGTTATTATCATCCGACTCTTGTTAGGTCACAATCAACGTGTAGCAACGATCGTAAAGTGAATCATCATTGTCAAGTAACTGGATAGAATTGCAACAGAAGCACAGATCGTCCAGTGAATAGACCTTATTCCACTTCCACTCTTTCAACGACGTTTCTTCTCGAACTGACACGTGATCGCAGTCAGACGAGCACATTCCTAGCACAGTACACGATGACCGGTGTGTTTTTTCTCATGATTATTCAGTCTCATTTGTTCAAACAGTGTTATTTGTATGAACAACTTGTGAAATCCAGCATTCATTCAACTGTGCAATATTTATTCACTGTTTTATACTAATCTGTTTATGTTGTCTTTTTCTTACTCGTCTTAATTTTCAAATAATGAACTTCGACGAATTGACATTAGTGATTAGTGGTGAATACTGTGACGAGTGTTTTCAGCATTATCGTGCCAACTACAATCTACCCTATCCCAACATATTCTCACTATAATAGTTAATGTTTCAAATTGTTAATAGATTTTACTGTGAGACACGACAACTTACTACACCAATCTGTTCATCAATTCAATCACACTGAAGTTCCATCTGCACATGATCATTTAATTACTTATTTACTTATTTATTCATTTATTTACTTTTAACAGACAAATTTTACTATGATAATCATGGAAACATTGGGTTGTTTGATTAGACCATTTCCTGATAAAATGTTCAATAGTATTATTGAGGTGACGGTGTTCAACTTTGGTTAGAGCAAATTCGATTACATTTGCATTACGCAGCTAATATGTCTGATATACAAAGCGGACATTCACAAATTTATGAGGTATTTCGCTCAGTTAGATAGTGTCAACAAAACACCACTGCTATTAAATAGAACTTGAATACCAATATTCTAAATGTACATATTGTTGTATCAAACCCGATTGAGCATTATGCTTGAATGTGAAGTCGTTGACACTATATTAGAGGGGAAGGTAAACTGTGGATGCTCGTTTAGAAAGGACAAGAATGTATTACTACAGCAAGTTACTTACTATTTTTGCAAGCATTTACTATGGTATTTTATTTGTCGTGAAATTGCAATTAATTAGAAACACGTTGAAGTTGAATAATGATATTTTTTGATTTATTTTCCCATGCATTTTATCACAATATATATACGGATAGTATGGTATGTTGAAAACACGTTGGGTGGAGGAGGGAAGAAAGAAAAACACACTATTATTCACTGTTAATATGAGTATTGTAAATGACGGGAGTTGGCTTGTGTACGAGAGTATCATCTGCCTATGAGTATGCATATTTTAAGAGTGTTCAATTGATTTTAAACTTACTAGCTCCTGTTCGATCGTACTCCACTCCTGCTAACAATCGAAAAAATGTTGTTCCAGACGCCTAATTAATTAATTGCCTACCAATGGTTAAATAAGAATCGTGATTCTTCCCTTTCTAGCACCACATTGCTACTCTCGTAATCACAGTCATCTGACTCACTTCGAACAGCGAGGCTGATTTACTATCCATATTTGAATACACATTCCAAGCATTTGTTGCAGCCATCAATCATTGACTTGATGTGACTTTCGTAAATCACATATGTACTTTACAATGGACTAAAACACATTGAGTGACGAGACCATAGTTGATGGACGAACCAATCAGATTTCGGATAACAGATTTTGGGTTTCAGCGCGAAATTCATAATCTGAATTCCTCACACTGGTTTGTTACCCTCCCTCATTTACTCCTAGTAAGTAGATGGACGTTCTCAGGGTCACTTTAGCGTTGCTCGAAGGTCGTGCATAAATTGTAGTCTCACGGGAAGAACGAGCAACTTGTTATTCGATATCAGTGAGGATGATGGAGTGATGTGAATTGAACAGTACGAAAATGTTGCACACCAGCACTCGTCACGCCATCGACTGACCCGATCGGCGGACTGGTTGTGAGCAGAGAGCGTTGGAGGTGCCGGGGATCGAACCCGGGACATCTCGCATGCGAAGCGAGCGCTCTACCACTGAGCCACACCCCCGACTTTCGGCTTCACTAGTAAACGCTCAACGAACCCCACTAAACTACCGCACAACAACACAGGAGATTAACATCCTAACAAACCATATCTACTTCTACTATCGCTTGTTAGTATTATTATTATTATTACTACTACTACTACTACTACTACTACTACTACTACTACTACTACTACTACTACTACTACTACTACTACTACTACTACTACTACTATTATTATTATTATCATTATTATTATTGTTATTGCTATTGTTATTGTTATTGTTATTACTATTGTTATTGTTATTACCATCCGACTCTTGTTTAGTCACAATCAACGTGTAGCAACGATCGTAAAGTGAATGATCATTGTCAAGTAACTGGATAGAATTGCAACAGAAGCAAAGATCGTCCAGTGAATAGACCTTATTGCACTTCCACTCTTTCAACGACGTTTCTTCTCAAACTGACACGTGATCGCAGTCAGACGAGCACATTCCTAACACAGTACACTATGACCAGTGTGTTTTTTCTCATGATTATTCAGTCTCATTTGTCCAAACAGTGTTATTTGTATGAACAACTTGTGAAATCCAGCATTCATTCAACTGTGCAATATTTATTCACTGTTTTATACTAATCTGTTTATGTTGTCTTTTTCTTACTCGTCTTAATTCAAATAATGAACTTCGACGAATTGACATTAGTGATTAGTGGTGAATACTGTGACGAGTGTTTTCAGCATTATCGTGCCAACTACAATCTACCCTATCCCAACATATTCTCACTATAATAGTTAATGTTTCAAATTGTTAATAGATTTTACTGTGAGACACGACAACTTACTACACCAATCTGTTCATCAATTCAATCACACTGAAGTTCCATCTGCACATGATCATTTAATTACTTATTTACTTATTTATTCATTTATTTATTTACTTTTAACAGACAAATTTTACTATGATAATCATGGAAACATTGGGTTGTTTGATTAGACCATTTCCTGATAAAATGTTCAATAGTATTATTGAGGTGACGGTGTTCAACTTTGGTTAGAGCAAATTCGATTACATTTGCATTACGCAGCTAATATATCTGATATACAAAGCGGACATTCACAAATTTATGAGGTATTTCGCTCAGTTAGATAGTATCAACAAAACACCACTGCTATTAAATAGAACTTGAATACCAATATTCTAAATGTACATATTGTTGTATCAAACCCGATTGAGCATTATGCTTGAATGTGAAGTCGTTGACACTATATTAGAGGGGAAGGTAAACTGTGGATGCTCGTTTAGAAAGGACAAGAATGTATTACTACAGCAAGTTACTTACTATTTTTGCAAGCATTTACTATGGTATTTTATTTGTTGTGAAATTGCAATTAATTAGAAACACGTTGAAGTTGAATAATGATATATTTTGATTTATTTTCCCATGCATTTTATCACAATATATATACGGATAGTATGGTATGTTGAAAACACGTTGGGTGGAGGAGGGAAGAAAGAAAAACACACTATTATTCACTGTTAATATGAGTATTGTAAATGACGGGAGTTGGCTTGTGTACGAGAGTATCATCTGCCTATGAGTATGCATATTTTAAGAGTGTTCAATTGATTTTAAACTTACTAGCTCCCGTTCGATCGTACTCCACTCCTGCTAACAATCGAAAAAATGTTGTTCCAGACGCCTAATTAATTAATTGCCTAACAATGGATAAATAAGAATCGTGATTCTTCCCTTTCTAGCACCACATTGCTACTCTCGTAATCACAGTCATCTGACTCACTTCGAACAGCGAGGCTGATTTACTATCCATATTTGAATACACATTCCAAGCATTTGTTGCAGCCATCAATCATTGACTTGATGTGACTTTCGTAAATCACATATGTACTTTACAATGGACTAAAATACATTGAGTGACGAGACCATAGTTGATGGACGAACCAATCAGATTTCGGATAACAGATGTTGGGTTTCAGCGCGAAATTCATAATCTGAATTCCTCACACTGGTTTGTTACCCTCCCTCATTTACTCCTAGTAAGTAGATGGACGTTCTCAGGGTCACTTTAGCGTTGCTCAAAGGTCGTGCATAAATTGTAGTCTCACGGGAAGAACGAGCAACTTGTTATTCGATATCAGTGAGGATGATGGAGTGAGGTGAATTGAACAGTACGAAAATGTTGCACACCAGCACTCGTCACGCCATCGACTGACCCGATCGGCGGACTGGTTGTGAGCAGAGAGCGTTGGAGGTGCCGGGGATCGAACCCGGGACATCTCGCATGCGAAGCGAGCGCTCTACCACTGAGCCACACCCCCGACTTTCGGCTTCACTAGTAAACGCTCAACGAACCCCACTAAACTACCGCACAACAACACAGGAGATTAACATCCTAACAAACCATATCTACTTCTACTATCGTTTCTTCTTCTTCTTCTTATTATTATTACTACTACTACTACTACTACTACTACTATTATTATTATTATTATTATTATTATTATTATCATTATTATTATTGTTATTGCTATTGTTATTGTTATTGTTAGTGTTAGTGTTAGTGTTATTGTTATTGTTATTACCATCCGACTCTTGTTTAGTCACAATCAACGTGTAGCAACGATCGTAAAGTGAATGATCATTGTCAAGTAACTGGATAGAATTGCAACAGAAGCAAAGATCGTCCAGTGAATAGACCTTATTGCACTTCCACTCTTTCAACGACGTTTCTTCTCAAACTGACACGTGATCGCAGTCAGACGAGCACATTCCTAACACAGTACACTATGACCAGTGTGTTTTTTCTCATGATTATTCAGTCTCATTTGTCCAAACAGTGTTATTTGTATGAACAACTTGTGAAATCCAGCATTCATTCAACTGTGCAATATTTATTCACTGTTTTATACTAATCTGTTTATGTTGTCTTTTTCTTACTCGTCTTAATTCAAATAATGAACTTCGACGAATTGACATTAGTGATTAGTGGTGAATACTGTGACGAGTGTTTTCAGCATTATCGTGCCAACTACAATCTACCCTATCCCAACATATTCTCACTATAATAGTTAATGTTTCAAATTGTTAATAGATTTCACTGTGAGACACGACAACTTACTACACCAATCTGTTCATCAATTCAATCACACTGAAGTTCCATCTGCACATGATCATTTAATTACTTATTTACTTATTTATTCATTTATTTATTTACTTTTAACAGACAAATTTTACTATGATAATCATGAAAACATTGGGTTGTTTGATTAGACCATTTCCTGATAAAATGTTCAATAGTATTATTGAGGTGACGGTGTTCAACTTTTGGTTAGAGCGAATTCGATTACATTTGCATTACGCAGCTAATATATCTGATATACAAAGCGGACATTCACAAATTTATGAAGTATTTCGCTCAGTTAGATAGTATCAACAAAACACCACTGCTATTAAATAGAACTTGAATACCAATATTCTAAATATACATATTGTTGTATCAAACCCGATTGAGCATTATGCTTGAATGTGAAGTCGTTGACACAATATTAGAGGGGAAGGTAAACTGTGAATGCTCGTTTAGAAATGACAAGAATGTATTACTACAGCAAGTTACTTACTATTTTTGCAAGTATTTACTATGGTATTTTATTTGTTGTGAAATTGCAATTAATTAGAAACACGTTGAAGTTGAATAATGATATATTTTGATTTATTTTCCCATGCATTTTATCACAATAT